AAATGTAACTTTGTAAAATTCGTTATTGTTACAAAAAATATAATAATACTACTTTGATAACAACAATATTTCTTCTTTTAACACAAAATTCAAAATATATATAAATATATATAAAAAAAATATATAAAATTAATAATAAAACAAAAAAGAACGTATCCTCAAACGGAACAAAATTAGAAAGCCAATTACAATTTCAGACAGTATCCACAATGTTGACATTCATAGTGCCTCTTCTTGACGCAGATTATTTTATTTCAATAAGGATTTAAGAGATTTATGCATATAAATGCTTTTGAAAGGCAGATACGTAGTTCAGTTTTATTATTGATGGTGATGCGTACGAATATCTGACGTCATTAAAACATAAAGTAACGTAGTCATTAAAAAGGCAACAAGATACTCTCTTACGTACATCAAGTAACAATCTTACGGTGAAGATAACTGAAGAGAAAAAAATAAATTTTATATGCGTAAAAATATAGGTATTACACGACAGTAATTATGCACGATTGAGGGTGATCGGCAAAGAGGCATGACGAAACTGGTAATATCAACGTTAAGCGACAAATCGAGTTGCCTTGCTTTTATGACACGCGAGTAGAATGTAATTACCGTGATATTACTTGCACGACTATTACGTTAAAGTCACGCAACTGCTACAGGGAAAATTTATTGTGTGTGTACGTATCTCTTAATGCTTATTCTACACGTACAACTTCATTATGTAGCTTCTTTATTAGGTCAATCCCATTTATTTCTCCGTGTCCAGAGTAGAAAAGACTTTTTTTTTCTCCGTTATATGTCAACATAATAATACAATTGAATGTATATGCACGAAATTATAAAATTGCGCGGAGATTATATATGACTGAATATCTAGAAAAACTCATTCCGGCAAATGTCGGATATTTAGCTGATAAAGGATTGAAGATCAGTAAAATTTTACATATAGTATTCACCATTATGTAAAGAATAAAAATGTCACCGAACATTTATCTGTTGCCACAATACATGATATTAAATTTGCACGCAAAGAAAAGATACAGAAGCTTTTATAATAACATTTGGAGAAATACTGCTATAAATCAAACGGTCCCAAGTTGTAGATTAATGAAATTTTTATACACACGCTCTAAAAAAATATCGATGTGGATTTAACCCATGCAGTATCTACATAATTCTCACCATTTTGGTGTTAATATTAACATCAACACGGTATGGATTTATAACCTCTGGTGTTTATATCAGTATTTCTCCATGAATTTAAAATATCCCTATAATGTTAAATCCACATGACGTTAGTGTTATTATTGACACCAACACAGTCAACAAAATATATAGTATGTATAGAGACGGCATGGTGTTAAATCCATATCGATATTTTTTAGAATGCATCGTCTTTCTCGATCGCGATTATGTCGCGTGGAAAAAAAATCGTATCTAAATAAGCGCGATATTTATGTGCTGGCGCAATATCGTAATAGCGCGAGTGGCGATAGTACAATAAATTCATACGTTCAGCAATATCTCTCTCAATGAGTGCGTCGGGCGTTCACGGTTTTAATTTCGCCCCGGTTATGCAAGATCACCGCGGATACATAAATCGACGGAAAATCGCTAAATTGGTAGCGGCGGCTGCATTCCAATTTTTCCCCACGCTTGCCGTGCGTGCATACATTATAGAGATATGTCGTCAGGAATAAAAGTTACGATCGCTAGCCCGGGGAGGGAAGCATAATAATAAAAAACAAAAGATAAACACATAATTATTCTATCAACATGACTCGTTTATTGTGGATCATTGAATCGTGGGGTGGTCCAGACAATAAAGGGAAAAAGAAAAGTGTGCGTGAAATGGATCACTGCGCTTTTTTTCATCGGGTGTAATTTTCCTGCAGTTTTTCGTCATTTCTGCTCGTTCGTGTTCGAGGCATCCGGGGTAATACTGGGAATTACACGGTATTTTGCGCTACGTGTTTGCAATAGGCTAAATGTTGTGCTCGTGAGGGTGCCTTGCTCTGACGCCTTCGATCCTCGAAAGAGAGGCGCGGGTTAAGTAAACGGGAGGGGTGAGATGGGATGTTCATACGTGGAAGCGGGATTGAAATATCAGGGCGTACGATTCGCTCGTAAATGGAACGCTCGCCGATTTTCCGGATTGTGAGGGATGAAGGGGTGGCGAGCGGCGGAACGTGGAGGGAAAATGCGCCGTCGAGAAGGAAGTCGTTTCGCCTAGACGACACGGCGGCAAGTTCGAATGGCCGGAAGCGAGGCGACGATATCGTTCGCTATTTCCAAGAGATATCCCTGTGCTTGGTGATGAAGGGTAACAGAGATGGTGTCTCATACATGCGTTGTACGCTGTGACGTTTTCTCTTGCAAATTTATTCGGCGATATATCAGGCAACTTCTTGCTTCTGCCTTAATGGCGGTGTTCCGATTTTGGCTTTTTTGATCTTCCGATGGCGGATTGAATACGAAGAGTAGAGAGATCAGAAGAGTGGAAAGGCCAAACGCGAGTTAATTTCCTTATCGACGACGATCGATGCTTCGACGGGCCGAGATACGCGGATGATCGGCGAGCGAATTTCGTTCCGTTTGCTCGTGAGCACTGCTGTTTGCCGTGAGTATTACCACCAACCTGGAAGTATAATTTGTACGGTGAATAAACTTAAAATGTGTGTTAATACCGGACTGTGCATAACGGTGTGATAATAAAAAAAGGAATGGGAATTGCACGGTGATAAATTTTCAAAAAAGAAAGTATAATTTACGTGGCTTATCCTCTTGATAATTCTCTCCAAGGTAAAGAATGATTTATTAACTGTATAAATTAAAACGAGTTGCAGGATTATCGATATTAATGAATTAAATAACTCAAACTCAATATAAATGTCATCACGTGTATGGGATAAGAGATCTACCATATTTTACACGCACAAGAGATCTGCAATATTTTATTATAATTATATTGAAATTTCAATGTTTTCTTCAGGATCGATATATATATTTGTTTATTAATTTTATTTATATACTTTTTGACACCATTAATTTCATAAATTAATCTTTTCTCCCGAACAAATTTCGCGCCAATTGTTTGTTGCGAGCATTATCACCAGCTTGGAAATTAATTCATACGATTAATGAGTTTAAGATGTGTATTAATGCTCGCCGGAGCGTGTATAGTTGCTCGATAATTATGAAGAAAGAAATTACATGGCGATAAATTGTCAGAGAGAAAAGTTCATTTTCGTGACTTATCTTCTCGAATCTTTCCGAGATTAAAGATGATTTATTTATTTGTTATTAAAACATAGTTTTAAATATTTTATTAGCAATTTTTTGTTTCATTCCATTGTTTTTGTATTTAATTTTTAATGTTTGTGAAGCTTTTATATTATACTTTTTTTAAATATTTAATAAAGCATCTATATATATATATATATATATATAATTTATATTATATGTATTATTTTTTAAATTTATTTATATTGAACTTTACTCTTCGATATTCTCAATTAATTGATTTCTTAATTGATTATAATTTATACCGTAAGTATTATTACCAATCTAATTGATTCGTAACAATAAAATCAACAATAATAAAATACACAGTAATAACACATCTCACCTCCACCGCCGCCGCCGCCGTATCCACCACCACCGTATCCGCCACCACCGCCTAATTTCCATCCACCGCTGCCGCCGCCGAATCCACTACTTCCACCACCGAGCTTCCATCCGCTGCTACCACCGCTGTATCCACCGCTGTATCCACCGCCACCGTATCCACCTCCGCCGCCAAGCTTCCATCCACCGCCGCCGCCGCCGCCGCCGCCACCGCCGTATCCGCCACCTCCATATCCACCTCCGTCGCTAAGCGCGATTACTTTGATGATCTTTCCACCGCCACCGTAACCACCACCGCCGCTACCGCCGCCAAATCCACCACCGCCAAACTTCCATCCGCCACCTCCGCCGCTATAGCCACCGCCTCCGTAACCACCGCCGCCGTATCCACCTCCGCCGCTACCGCCGAGCTTCCATCCACTGCTGCCGCCGCCGAAACCACCGCCGCCATAACCACCGCCGCCGCTGCTTATGTAACCACCTATAATTTCAAAATTATGATAGACTTCATTATTTTTCACCGCATTCGAAAATTTTAATTTCTTAGTTAAGTAACCGCAATTTATAGAGACATGGGATGTGTGTGTGTTTATGATGTACGATTTATTGACTTTCTTTATGTGACTACGAGCTTCGTACCAGATGATTGCGCTCGCTTATGTCGGTCCGCAAATTGCCACGAGGTATTTTGTGATTGCTACAAGGAGACTGGTTGCCTTCTGCCGATTGTGTAAGTCGTCTCAAAGAGCAGAGGGCAAGTACAAACCACTCTCGGATTAAATTTTATGAGTTCGTTTAATATTGCTGAACTAACCAGTAATTACATAAAAAAAATTGAAAAAAAAATTATGAAATGTGCGTGCATCTGTTCGTCTCGCTCGTTAGTGTAAATAATAATAGCAGTGTAGCTTATTATTTCAAATGATAATTCTTGCCATGGTAGCGACACTAATTACTTTTTTTGTAATTTGTGACAATATTTAAAAGAATAATTAACAACTACCGTTTATTAAAAGATGTGGATATAATTTAACAGCGAAAAAGACAGCGTCAGACAATTTCTTGAAATCTTTAATTTGCTGACTCTCTTCGAATTTTATTATATAGTTTTCTTTTACATTTATATAATTACCACTTTTCTACCAGAGATCGATTGTATATTGTGATTGTAAAAAATGAAAGTCTTGATGATTTTCTTTTTTTAAAGAACGCACTACAAAATACGATTTTAATAAGCAATTGATTTCAAGTAAGGTAGTGGGATCTCCAGCAAGAAGGTGGTCATGTTTATAATGTTTAATTTAATATCATATTAAAATAGATTTAGAAGTCTATTTTGGAAATAATTGTCACATTTACGACACAGTGAATTGGCACATTTACAGTTACAGTGCAAGCACTTTCCACGGATTCAGGTGTACCGAGAGGGTTAAAAACGCCGCGAACACTTCACACGCGGAACACCCCCCCGCCATAATCCCCGGCCGCCGTTTTCATAAGCCCCCATTGTACTCACCGTATGCGGTGGCGACGAGCGCCAGCACGAGTGTGACAACGAACACCTGCAACAAGAGAACGGCCAGGTGTGAGAGCTTTAAAACAATCGCGAGAAATTGTCGATCATTCATGTATACATATACGTATACATATATTAATATTTATACGAGAGTACACGCGTACGTGCGTTCGCGCTAGGACCCACTTCTACGTACCTTCATGTTGGAGGTGTTTGATGCCCATCATGGGGCCCGCCAGCTCTTTTATAGCTCCTGCCTTTCTTCGCGGCTCGGGGCCCCCGCCCTTCCGTCTTACCTTTCCCCCCGCATGTTCTTCTTCTGGATCACGAAACCCGACTTTCGTGCCCACCACCATCACCATCACCGTCGACTACGAAAAATTCCCGTCGCCGTTCCAGACGACTGCCTCCCCACCCTCTCTTGCGTCGAGCGATAACGAGACATCGGGCTGCTAATCTTGACACCTGGCCGTCCGATCGTGCCACGAGATCGAGAAGGCCTCTCGCCGCGGGGCGGGATTCGCGACATTCGCGGCACCCGCTCGGATGAAGGGGGATGGCGTGTGGAAACGCGCGGCGACCTCGTTGCCGGGAAATCGCGGTGATGATTCATCGGCCAAGATAATCGCGCGACGTCCACGGAATATTCGCCTGTTCGAAGGAGAACGTAGCCTCCGGGCGCGACGAGAGTCGCGGTACGCTGATTGCGGAATCTCCCGTTCGTATGCTCGGCGCGGTAGTAATTATCACGGCGAATCGTGCTTGCTGGACCGGAAACACCCGGGACAGACGCTCTCCAATCTGGTAACTTCAGAGTTCTGGTTTCTTCAGAGTCCGGACACGCGTGCTGGTGACTCTTTCTTGGTATCAACCCATTCGGCCCATTCTTTGCTCTCGCCAAGTGAACAAATCACACTTATACAAGATGTTTCGAAAATGGAACTGTCGGGTCAGATCGTTGTAATCTGGAGTCAGAGACTTTCCTTTCATGTGAACCGAATTTTGATCGCTACCTTTAGGCGGTTTGAAAGTTTCCGCGTTTATATTAGAATTAGATTTTTAACCTATTTAATATTTCTATTTGATATCCTTTTCATTTTATGATTATGTGAAATAGTGAAATAGTTGAGCAATCTAATCAAAGTAGAACATGTATGAAATATTAATTATTGTATAAAAAAAAATTAAAAAGTGAACTAAAAATAATTTAAAAATTTAACAAGCTATTAGATCTGAAAATAATTTTGTTAGATCATCAAAATAATTATGTAAGACGTTTAAGCTGGAATGTGTACACTTTTTGCGGTTTATTATATAGAGAAAATATTTGGTATGAATGCTAAACCTATGTTACAACGGCAAATTCCATTTGCAAATATAGGGATCGCAAATTATTTGCAGGTGTAACAAATATCTATTATTTTTTGTACTTGCTAAAAATTATTTGCAATAAATGTAAAATATTTATCAAATATGCAATTTTATTTGATATAAACCAGCAAACAAATTTAACAATTAAATTTTGCAATCCATTGTAGCAAAATAATTTTTCTCCATGCATACTTGAGCGTTCTACATAATTATTTTGATGGTCCAACGAAATTATTTTTAAATTTATATCTAATTAAATTTTTTTGGACACTTGGCAGAATTGTTCCTTTTCTATGTAATTCTATTTTTTATTTCCTATATTTCATTGTCTGAAAAAGACACGAATAGGATTTTGTGCTCTGTAGAGAAAAGACCTTTTATTTACTGACTCCTTTAGACACCTAATCGTAAAAGCGAAAATTGGTTGTAACAGGAAAGGAAAGCCTTGCTCGAGGGAGTTGGCCAATGCGTACGTAGACACGCCGCGGTTGCCACGGTGTGGTACGCGAAATTGTGCAAGTACCACGCAAGGAGATAAACATCTCCGAGCCATTTTTTATCTCCGGGCAATCTCTTGGCAGCGTGCACTCGCCAGGACACCACACTGTTATTATCAAAGATCACACAAATAAATTGCTGTTCCTGATAATCCTTCTTAGTGCAATAACTGATTGTCCACCGATCGCCACGGTTTCGTCAGGGAAACGTGTTCTCGATGACGTCGTGTGTCAAATCGTAAAGCAACATCAGATAGGACTCATGGTCAAAGTGTAAGATTATAGATAATTAAAAAAAACCCTATGCGTGTCGAAAAATTAATAACATCGTTTACTAAGTTAAAATCAAAGTAGCGATGAAGACAATACATGTGTATAGATGAAAAGATAACGTTTATAATAGAGATCTGAGATTATTCGTAAAATGATAATGATAATAATTGCAACCGTACCCGAGATAGTCATTGCTAATTAGCTAATAAATCAAGTTCTAAGATTAATACTCTGATAAATTCGATATCAATATTAATACAACATTAATATTAATTCAATATCGAGAAGATGTTGCGCAAGTCAAAGGTACTTTGCATCTATCTTCCCTTTTTTTTTTTTTTTTACTTTTTAGTCGTACAGGAACGCATTGGCTTAATCGCGCTTCGCGAAACAATGCACAGGGCGATAATGGATCGTCGCTCAGTGGCGATCATTCTTCGTGCCAGCGAAGTAACGTCTCGGGTGCGTAACTATTATCAGCGTTTTACTCTTGATCGCTGAACAAAAAGCAATATTGAGATACTCTGTGGAAAGCGAAGGCCTTCCTGGCCTTTCACCGTGCCGATGTCCGCGCGGATGTGTCTGACCTCTTCGCACTCATCGGTTAGCTCATCGAACCGTGCGATGATTGATATGAGTAATTTGGACGGACAGTTCTGGTCATTGATGACATCGGGAATCAAGGTTGAGCGTATTCGAGAGAGTAAGTAATGAGAGCTATCATCCTGTCGTGAAGAGGAGTTATGAAGAAGCTTTGCGCATAGACACACACATACACACACACATACACACACACACACACACACACACACACACACACAACCCTGTATTCATTGCTAAGCATTAGCATGCAGCGTTTGTGTAATCATGTTTGGAAGTTTGAGAGACACAGGTGCGTATGGTCGTGCGCGCGTTACCTTTAAGGTAATTGGTACGTTCCCTGTAGAATTCGTCGTTCGCAAACTTAACAGAGTGATTTCGATCGCTCAGTATCTCGATGTCGATGACTGCTTAATATCTAAAGTTCACAACTATCTCGACGATGATCACGTGTGCGGTAATCGTAAAAGCGAATTGCTGGCCTCCAGAAATGCGGAATTGCTAACCTATCGAACCTGATCTGCGCTCTAGTGAAAGTTAGATAGTATTATAATCCTTAGCAGTTTTAGCATGAGTTATGATAGGATGATTAAGGTACCTTCTTTTATATAAGTATAGATACCTCGCACACGCTAAACTCCCGTAAACTATAAGGTGAACGTATTACCCGATATTACGCGATAACATTTAATAAAACATAAAATTGAAGACTCTTGATATAGAAAAGGTTGTAAAATATGCTGTAATCTACATAGGAAGAACGATTTTGCTGAAATATTTAAAAATGTAGTTAGAGCTGTGAAAATAATTTTATTGAACCATCAAAATAATTATAGGAAAATAATTAAAGAAAATTCAAGCATGATGAGCAATTAATTCTGTAAAAAATTTTGACGTTTTACTAACCAGCTTGAGTTTTCTACATAATTAATATTAAGTGAAAATGTTAAGTGAAAATCGACCGATGAGATTAAATATACGTAAGTGAAAAATTCCTATTTAATTATTCTGTATAATTATTTTAATGAAAAGTAAAATAAAATTATTTTCAGATCTACATTAAACTAAATTTCTATAGATATTTCAGCTGTATACTACAAAAGACTTTGATTAATAATATTGGCGTTACTGTTACGTTTGATATAGAGGCTCTATTTATTTTTAGGGCGCGCAACATTTAGGTCAAATGCTCAGTTTGCAAAAGCGCAAAGAATTTATCTTGTTCATCAGTACAAGGATTGATATGTCTACTGACATACTTCGTCGCCTTAAGGCAACGCTTCCCGCTGAGTGCTGTGCATGATGATAATTAGATAAATCGAGTCTATATACATATATATGTATATATGGCAGTACATACCTCGAGCTTCATTTTCTTTACTTCTAACCGGGTTTTCTCTGATATACGTGAGCAAGAAATAAATGAACATTGTTGATTGAGGGAGCTGTGTACGTTCGAAGGGAGTTGCAAAATACGCGTGCATCATCGACATCGAGAAAGGGCGATAGAATCTCTCTGGGGCCGCGGGATGCTACAAGTACATGACGTAATATTACGTGCCTCATGGTCAGAAGATGAAAACCGGTCGGCGTTTGAGACCGCAGGATTTTCTACGCCGGAAAAACCGAAACGTTACCCTCAGACGAGTCAGTTTTGAATCGACCAGTACTCCGCTTTCGCTTACCGTTTTTCAGTACCAAATATAATGCATTGTTATGCACAAAATTGAGATGTATGATCTAAAAATACGGAGTCACCGTCGTCTCTTTTAAAAATAATTTTTATAGAGCTCTTAAAATTAATAGGATTTTCTTATTAGCGAAAACTGATGGGATATCTAATGACACGAAAAGTAATAATGTCGTACATTAAAGAAGAACCTGTTCGAACTAAGTTTAGGAAAAAATATTACTGAAATTAAATAAAATTTAGTTTACAGAGAAATATAGTTTAAAGTTTAATATGCAAACTTTATAAAATATAATTCTTCTGATATTAGAAGATTATGGAAAAGAGTTTTTTTAATGGCGAAATGTAAATTACATTTTCAGACATTTAATTCCGATTATTATAATACATTTATTTCGGAATTTCAAGACTTTTTTGTCGTTGTCAGATACAAATTTGTAGTGCACGCACGTATTAAATCATAGCTGTAGGTGCGAGCATTGCAAGCTCTGTGTGACCATTCAAGTATCACGTTTATCGATTTGATCTACAGAGTCAAGTATCGACTTAGTAAAAGTTGTCGCCCTCATTAGAAGTTGCTCAAATACATATCGAAGCGTGTAGTTTGACGAGCAGTGCAAACGGAAGAAACTCCCGGGAACAGTGTGACAGAGTGACCGAATAAAACCGACGCAAAGCTGGCAAGTCGCATTTACGATTAGTAGCGTGCAAATCAATTCCTGTTTACGTTTTTCAGCATGGTCATAATGTCGTTTCACGGAAATGAATATCGCTATCTTTCT